TCTCTGGACATTGAACAGACCCCAGCCATCATCAAGGTTCTGGATGCAGGTGAGACATCAAAAATAATTACGAGTACTGGTGATATGTGGAGTCCAGTCTTTCGATTTCTGTCTACACTGACCCGTATTTCCCCTTGCTTGTCTTCAGCTGTGATAAAGATGGAGGGAGGAACAGATCACGATCTTCGCATCTTGGACCTTCCATCTGAAGAGGAGGAAGAAAGGGAGAAGCTGGCATCTGTTTCAGGGGGTGCTGAACCTCAAAAGAGAGAAGACCTCAAAGCCCTGGACGGTGACCGCAAACCTTTAATAGAGAAGGACAAAAATGAGAAGGTATGTTTTGTTGTCAGTTGTCAGTGCTCGCCGGGTTGTAGAGATTTCACAGCCGTATGTTGATGACGGTAAACTGTGCCGCAGGAGGAGAGCGACTCTGCCGGCACAGAAAGAGCTGCTGCAGCTGAAGGAGAGGATATGAAAGAGGAGGCAGAGAAAGAAGCTGCCAAAGAAGAAATGCCTGAACCCAAGAAAGTAAGTGTTGCTTCCATTATTGAAATTATTTGCTAACAAGAGACAAGAATGATCCAAATGGCGCTCATTGGTCTCATTTTCAGCCAAGACGAAAGAGGAAGCGCAGTGGAGACAGCGACGATGAAGGCAGTGCCTCAGAGAGCGACTCTGACTCTGATTCAGACTCAAATTCCAACTGCTCTGATAAACCTGTGAAGAAGGAAGAGGTGGAAGACAAGGATGAGGAGGAAGAGGAGGGTGAAGGTGAGGAATCAAATTCATAGCATCTGATTTTTATCTTCAGAAAGACAGTTTAGTTCACTGTCCACAACTCAAAGCGCTGTTCACAACACTTCACGCTCTCTCTGTTCTAATGATGAAGAGGAGAAACCAAAGGAGGATGCTGAAGATGACAAGAAAGAAGAAAAGAAGCCCAAAGACGACTCTCCCAGACCACGGCCTCTGCACAGGACCTGCTCTCTGTTCATGAGAAGCATCGCTCCCACCATTTCCAAGGCTGAGATTATTGCTGTGAGTAGAACACAGGCAGCAGTATTAACGGCCCAGGAGATAGTCGCAGTCATTCGTGTCGTTGTTTAAACTCCACAACCTTATTGTTTTCTCTCTCTCAGCTTTGCCGACGATACCCTGGCTTTCTGCGTGTTTGCTTGTCTGACCCCCATCCAGAGCGCAGGTTGGTTTAAATCCCACATTCTTTGAACTTCTCACTCTGATGTTTATTGGATTCATTCAGTGAAGCAGGAGACTACACTCGATTACACAGTAATGGTTTAATGAACTCTGTGCTGCTGCAGGTTTTTCAGACGTTGCTGGGTGACGTTTGACCGCAGCGTCAACATCAAAGAAGTTTGCTGGAACCTTCAAAATATTCGAGTAAGCGTGCCAGTCTTGCTTTCAAGTGATTGTATTATGCAGCATAGAAGAAGATAACTTTTGGATATATGTAATGCAATGTAATATGTGGATACACGCCTTAACGCTAATGTAGATTGCGTTGTTATTTCCTCTCTTTTTCATTTTATTTGATTTAAGATGAAATCACTGAACATTTTTGTCAGATAACGAGACCTGCAGTGTTGTATTTCAAAATCATATTGGACTTAGGGGAGCCTTGGCTTCTCCTTTGCACCTGTTTTTATTACTCGTGTAATCTCCTGAATAGCAGTTGAGGCCATTAAAACAAATTTTTACTCTCCTACCTTTCACAGCTGCGAGACTGTGAACTGGCACCGGGGGTGAACAGGGACCTGGCCCGGAGGGTGCGTAATGTTAATGGCATCACTCAGCACAAGCAGGTTCTCCGCAATGACATCAAGCTGGCTGCCAAGCTCATTCATGCCTTGGACGAGAAAGGAGACCTGTGGAGCATCAAGTTCCAAGAAGAGGGGCGGAGCACAGAGGTACAGCGCTTGTCAAGTTCATGCATTTACATGTGTGTGTGTGT